GACGAGCTGGCCTCGAGGACACAGAACCAATTGGGGTTTTTGCCTACGGGAGCACTACCCCTTTAGGGCCTGATGACATAGCTACCTTTGTCCCCGGGGGTTTGATAGTTATTTCAGACCGACCCGATCAGAGAGCCCAGCTCCCATCTCTAGAGCAACTTCTTCTGTTGCAGCACAGTTGGGATGCTGATCCTGAAATACCCTATGGACCCGCAGGTCGCCATCACTGTTGTGTCACTGGAGGACAGCGGCTTATCACCCATAACCCACAACTCCATCCAGAGTTACACAGCAGCATTGCAGCCGCCTTACAGCTCAATCTCCAGCACACAGACATACTGCCTGCGACCCCGCCAGTTACTGATGCAGCCATCAACGGGCATCACTGCCTCAGTGTTCAAGCAGTAGTTTCCCACTTTGCTGGCGACAAGGATCCAGACCTCATTGTCGGTCTCCTTGACTGCCGCCCTCTTCTCCAGGGCTGGTCATTGATCGCTGCACCCGGAGGCCGTACATCATACCTTGACCTAGTCACTGTTCTGGACACCTTTGCGCCTCAGGGGTGGACTTCTAGGATAAATACAGGTGATCTTGATGAAGCCGGAAATTTTCAGGTCGCCCCAGGTCAAGTCTTTACGGCAAGCTATGTCTCAACTGCGATTCCCGCGGAAGTTTCTGGCAGTGCCCCGGGTGAGGACGTCGGGGCTGACGGCCCTCCAGAGGACCTACACCCCAGAGCATCTCCCGTTCGCAGCCCACCTGATCTTCCTCCAGCAGCCCCAGACCGGCACTCCAGAAGCCGGTCCCCCACAGTCAGGGCTACACCGCGTGCAGCTCTGCTCCTTCACAAAGATGGACTGGCAGCGACCCACATCAGTAGGCTGCCACACTTGGATTGGATTGACCTCACCCCTTCCTTCAGTCGAGTTGTCATGCAGGGCCTCAGTTCTTACCTTGGGCGTTTCCCTTGTTCCTGGAGCCTTGCCTCTGTCCTCCTAGGTTGGTGTGGCCAACAAGGGATGCAATACCAATCCGAATGGGTCGCAAAAGGCCTTCTGCGCCTCCTTGAGCCTCAGGGTCACTGGCCGTCCCGGCCAGGCGACACACCCCATGAGGAGAGGCCACCCTGCCCGGATGAAAACCTAGGCACCCAAGGACATAGCAGGGAGCCGGGGCAATGGCGAGAAGTTGCTAACACACAACGTGCTGTAGGACATGACGAATCTGGATGGGTGTATACTGCTCCTTCACCTTTTGACACGCCCCAGACACAGGATGGGGAGTCCACCGAGACTCTGACGCCCCAGTCGCGTAACTTGCCCTTCTTTGTCGCTGTGCCTGGATACCAGCTGCAACGCCATAGGGTAGAGTTAGAACTGCCGGCGATACTCCCTGAGGCCTTTGCTGTTGTCCGGAATGCGCGCTCCGCACAAGACAGGCGCAATTTCCCTGTTCTTACAGCTGCCCGCCCACAACCCATCAATGGAGCGGGTCTTTTCCTTGCCGATGCTGCCTGGGATAATCCCTATCCCACACTCTGCCTTGACACCACTGTCTTTGATGGCAGGCTCTTTGCTGTCGTTGGTCGGTTCTATGCCGATAAGCACTCGCTGTTGATCCTTGCTGATCTCCCCCTTGGCTTGAATGTTGATATTTACGTCGGCACATCACCCGACCCGATTGCAGGCGGACAGGAGCAGCAAATGACCCATGGGGATGTCATCAAGTACCAGCCTGCTGGCACCCGACTCCCTCATAGGTATTCACTTGGGTTTTGCCTTCAGCACCCCGAGTTCTGGGATGCATGTTCCTTTTCGGGTTTGGTTGCCTCGCCAGATGTGTATGGACTGGTGCATGACAGCCAGTGCATTCTTCATCTTCCAGGTCCTTCCACACCAATGCACTTTCGGCGACACATCGCAGCCACCATCGGAACAGACGAGGCTAGGCTTCGCCTCTTCCCAGCAGTGCCCAGGGTTAGCAATGCAGAGATTTCCGGGCACCCAGTTCGTAACATTGTTGGCGTCTCTGAACTCGCTGGGGAGTTCACCCGCACATCCTGCTGTGTTCTACTTGACGCTCGGCCACTTGGCCAACAGTGGCACGAAATTCACGTCCATGGGGGCCACTTTGAACCTCTTGCCCTTAGTGCAGACTTCGACAGACATGCACCTGCAGGATGGCGCACCAGAATACAGGACGCCAACGGGGAAGAGGTAGGGGATAGGATAGTGCCGGGGCAGGTTCTTGAAGCTGTCTACGTTCCCACAGGTTTTGGGCGAGAAAGGAGTATAGCTGAGTCCATCAGCAATACCCTCGACGACGATCCTGCTGCTGCTCCCGGTATTCCACCTGTAGCCCCTACTGCCACTGCCTCTGCGCTTGGAACAGCTGCTACGCAAGACCAAAGTGATGCCATCGCACCAGACCACCCAGGTGTCCTGCCCCGTCCAACTGACGACCCCACACCCAGCCACACTGCCGGCCCTGCATTTGCCAATTGCATCTTCCTCATCCTTGGGCAGAACTATTGCCCGGAAGTTGTTCAAGTTCGACTCAGAGTTGGCTGCCCGGAGACTGAAGCCCTTGAGACAGTTAACGCCGCCAGATCTCCTGTCTTCCGAGGGTACCTTCCACGAATATGCTCGGTCTACCCTCAGACACTCCAAGGGATAGCTGTTCTTGTTGCGGTCCCGCTTTGGCCGGTCACTGGAGCTATTGTTGTCCTTGATACCATGCGTATCAATGGACAAATTTGCGCCCAACAGCTCCCAAGCATTATTACCAGAGAAGGCGCTTGCATTGCTGCCCGCGTGTCCCTCCATGCACCACACGAGCTTTATGTTCATGATATGCCATGGCCAGCACAACCTGGCATGCAGCTTGGAGTGTCCCACGGCGACGCCCTCTTGATTGTCCCTTCTGACACCAGGCACTTTGTTCTTTCTGATCTTGCCACCATGCTCCATGACCCAGACTGTTGGAACACGGAGTGGACGCCAGACGTGCCCTTTGCAGAAAGAAGCTGGATCATCTCCGAAAGTAGGGACTTCATTTTCCCCATCCTTCCTGGACGCAGAGACCAGGTCAGCCGGGATGTAGCCAGCCTCTTAGGCCTGCCCACAGCGAGCTTCCGGCTCTTTGCGCCTGACCCCAGCATAATCACTTATGCTGATAATGGCGTCCCGGTTCAGCATGTCCTTGCAGCGGTTCAGCTTGAAACTCGGGCAGGAGTACAAAGAGCTAGGCCACCTGCCTGCTTTGTCGACTGCCGGCCCCTCTTGCAGACTGTCCGGGTGCTTTTTGATGCCGAAGCCTGCCTAGACACTCAGCGCCTTGCACACCTCTTTTGGCGCTGCCCCGCAGGATATGTCCTATGCTACCTCTCTTCTTCAGGACTATTCCAGCCTCTTGGTGAGACCCTCACATTTACAGACCGAAGCGTCATTGTTCTTGCGTATGTCCCTGCAGCCCTCGTCCATACCACTGCTACCTTAGAATCCGAGGCGCAGCCCAACCACGGCACTGACCAAGACAGCCCCGAGCATGACCGGAGCTCAGGAACCCAAGAGAGCCTCTCTGGCGACAGAGCGCCTTCTTCTAACAGCAGATCCACAGGCCATGATGCTGGTACAGGTGGCTCCAGACATGCCCAAGGTCGCCCCTTGCCTCCTCAGACCGGATGGTCAGCCTGTGCTTGTGGGTCCCTCTGCATTATCATTTGCATTGGTGGTCTCTCTGAGGTCGGTGTTTTCATTGGGATCCTCTTCGCTGCCATTCAAGGGGCCTGGGTATTTCGGTTGGGGTTTGCAGTATGCCTTTTGCCTGCTGTCACAGCAATGCAATTCCAGCGAACAGAGCTCCATGCCCCTGATGTACACCGAGCTGACTACGACAGTCGATGTATCAGTATCCCTGACATCCTCAGGATACCGACACCTTGTCGAAACAGCAAACAGGCCTGCCCCCTGACAAGTCCTGCAGGCAATTCTGAACCTCTTGGTGAGCCGACTAACTGCCCACATGACCAGGAATTGCGGAGTATCATAGACTCCTGGCCAGTTGACACTCTGCTCAATCAGAGTCTGCGGAGTGATCCTGAGCCTTTCTTCCTTGCTGCCACTCTTCTTGATACCCTGTGTGAGCATTTCGCTGGCTCTTCAGACGGAGTCGACCCGTGCAGACTGCTTCGCCTGGCAGATCATCTCCCACCCTGCCCTCAGTTTGACTTGACTGCCACGACTATGAACGTTAGCTGTACACTTGATCAGCTACAAGCATTTCTGCAAGCTCGATGGCAGCTACACCCCAACCTCCCCTCTGCATTGCACCTGCACCCTGCCACAGAAAGTGCTCTAGCCGATCACTGCCACATAGCCCTGGATGCAGTCCTTGCTGTCGAGATCTATACTGACGGGTCTTTTCACAGTGACCTCAGCACCTGGGCCTTTGTAGTACGGGTGACCGATGGCTACCACTGGTCTGTATTCGGTTGGGCCAGGGGAACAGTCGCACTTGCTGGCTCTGTAGCCTCTGTTGGTGCCCTCCAACATTCCGCCGTTGAGGGCGAGCGCAGTGCACTCTTTTGGGCCACGGCATGGGCCATCTGTAGTGGTTTCACTTGCCCGATCTCTTTCTGGGGAGACAATAGTGCAGCCCTAGGGCAGACCAGAGGCACATGCGGCAGCGCAGACCACTCTGCCTCTGCTGCAGCTTGCCGGGCAGTCTCACAAGCAGCTGAGGCCATTCGGGGAGCGCCCCTTCTTGCCTATGGGCACGTTAAGGCCCATCAAGGTCAAGCCTTCAATGAATTGGCAGACACACTCGCCAAAGCGCATCACCTTGGGGACACTCCCATCCCAGACGCTGTGCGCCAGGTTGCAGGTTGACCTCGGGCTGGTAGCCTTGACTGGCTATGGCTTCTGATCGAATCCACTGCTCGACCGGATCTTTGGCCACGCCACCAGGGACCCATCTTGTTAGACCCTATCGGGAAGTCAATGCCCATCCCGAACCCACGCCGGGAGTTCCTTAGTCTGCAGCCAGAGCCTGTCCCCGCAGAGGCTGCTGCTTTGACGGACGCCCACCTTGCTCTTCGGTTGGTTACGATTAACGTACAAACATTAGAGGAAGACGGGCATAAAAATCTACCCGGCCGTACCCCGTACATCCGAGCACAGCTTCACGAGCAAGGCGCCACTTTCATCGGATTACAAGAGACGCGCTCAAAAAGAACTGAGACGATTGTTTCCCAGACGCACCTGCGATACACCTCTGCCGCAGACGCTTCAGGTAATCTTGGTGTGGAACTCTGGATTTCACGCCATCATCCATTTGCGTGGCAAGGTCAGGTTCCAGCCAGAGCTGCTCCATCGGACTTCCGGGTAGTCGGGTGGTCACCTAGACACCTGTTTGTTCGCTGCCAGAGGGATACGATCAGGTTCCTCCTCACTGTGTGCCACGCTCCCACAACTGCCGATGCCCACCGCAACAGCTGGTGGAAGGGGTTCTCGGATGCCTTGATAAGTGCCTCTAGGGGTGACCCCGTGATCATTTTAGGTGACCTTAACACGAGATTCACAGACCCTATCCCAGGTCATGTAGGCGAACTCTGCTGGGAAAAGGAACAGGACATTCCCGAACAGCTGATGCGCCTGCTAAAAACACTTAATCTCTGGATACCAGCGACTTATCAGTGCTGCCACGATGGCCCATCGTACACTTGGGCTGCCCCCGGCAGCGGAAGTAAGTCCCGGTTAGATTACGTGATCATTCCAGGGGCGTGGCAAGCCGCCCCCGGCTCCTCGCGCACACTCCTTGACGTTGATTTTGGACAGACAGGAGTCGATCATTTTGCTGCTCAGCTCGACGTGAGTGTCACTCTCACTCGAAAGACCCGGAAACCTGTCAAGGGTCGTAGGATCGATGTTCGAAAAATGCGGGACCCCTTGTCGAGGGACATCGTGCGTACAATCTGTCGTACTACCCCAGATGTGCCTTGGAACGTCGATGTTCACACTCACTGCGACCTGGTCACCCGACACCTCGTTGATAGCCTTGCCCTTGCTTTCCCATTAAGCGGTGCCGTATGCCGCCGAGCATACTTCACGGCCACCACATGGGCCTTCCGCCAGCAGCGAACTGCCTGTCGCAAAATCCTTCACCGAGGTATAGCTGCCCTCAGCCTGGGGGAAACCGGTGCGGCCTTTTGGGCTTGGCGAACACCTGCCCACTCTACCAGCATATGGCGTCTCACGGTTGCCGGGTCCCTCAAGTGGATTCACGGCACAAGTCAAAGCATCCGGCAATTCAAGGCACTCAAGCCAATGCTTCGTCGGTCTATCCGGACTGACCGGGCCTCTTACCTTCGAGAGACGGCCCAACAAGCAGCGACTTCCACTGCCAAATCTGTCTACGAAAAACTCCGACCGCTCCTGGGCCCGCCCAAATACAAACGACGGGGACCGCAGGAACTTCCAGCGATCGCCCTCGAGAATGGCGAAATAGCCCAAACGCGTGCTGAGACTGAAGCAAGATGGATCCGCCACTTCAGTGCTGTTGAAGCCGGGCACCCCGAAGATCCCTTAGACATTGTTGGAAAGTGTCTTGCCCGCCAACACGGGGATGCATCAGTTGAACTCAGCCTAGAAGCTGAGGATGTTCCGACCCGCACCCACATTGAGAGCTCTATGAGGAAAACCCCTTGTGGTAAGGCAGCTGGGAAGGACAATGTGCCGCCTGACCTCCTACACCACTTCGCCTCTGAACTCTCACTACCAGTCTATCGGCTAGCTCTGAAGGCCTTTTTCAGGCAGACCGAACCGCTGCAGTGGAAAGGTGGTGAATTGTTTCATGTGTGGAAACGCAAAGGTTCAGCACTAGACTGCAGTAGCTACAGGGCCATCCTCGTCAGCTCAACCCTTGGTAAGGCTGTGCATGGAGCCTTCCGGGAGAAGACTGGTGCAGTCTTTGACAGGGCAGCAGCGCCGTTACAACTTGGCGGAAGACGCGGTTGTCCCGTCCAACTCGTCGTGCAAGCTGCACGCCTCTTCCAACAGGCCTGTACTGCCCGAAGGCAATCGAGCGCTCTCATATTTGTAGACCTTAAGGAAGCGTTCCACCGGGTCGCAAGACCCCTCGTACATGGAGGTGAGGTAGGTTCGGAACACCTTGCCGCTGTAGTCACTGCCTTAGGTCTGTCTGAGGACGTAGTGCCTCAGCTACAGCATTATGCCCAGAGTGCCTCGCGCTTCCGCACCGCCGGAGCCTCCGAATGGTCTTCTGCCATGCTCGCCGAATTTGGGCGTGATACGTGGTTTTGTCACGGGCAAGGTGAAGGTACAGCCACAGTCACGTCCGGTACGCGACCCGGAGATAATTTGGCAGACGTCCTCTTCTCAATGCTTTTTGCATCGATCCTGACCAACCTTCGAACCGCCTTCCGCGATGCAGGCCTTAGCGTCTCCATACCCTGGAGCGATGACCTCTTATGTGCTGCCCCTGGCACACCCCTCCCTGACCAGGAGGGGGAGACTGCTCGTCCGATTGATGTGACGTGGATGGATGACCTTGCCCTGCTTGTCACATCGGATAAGGCTGAGGACCTCCCAAGGCGTGCCATCCTGGTAGCCACTGCCACCATCACTGAATGCATCAAGGCCACCCTTTTGCCGAATTTGGCTGCTGGGAAGACTGAAGCTGTTTTATGCCTTTACGGCAAAAACTCCAGGCGAACCGCTGCCACTGTTTTCCAAGGTGGAGAGCCCTCTCTCCAGCTCGAGTCCCAAGTGTGGCCACAGGCACGCCTGAGGCTCGTGTCACTGTATCGCCACGTTGGTGGCTTGATACAGGCCGGTGGAGGCCACACTAAGGAACTTCGCTCTCGCATAGGCGCTGCTTGGCAGAATTTTCGGACCCACAAGCGCCTGGTCTTTGGCTCCCCGGTAGTCTCGGCTTGGGAAAAAGCAGTCCTGTTTGAGAAAGTTTGAGTCCCTGGTTGTAAGCACCCTGACCTACAGCATAGGAGCATGGCCCCAGTGTGACCAAAACACCATTGACCGACTCCACAATGTCCTGGTGCACATGGCCAGGATGATGCTTCGGCCTCGCTTTCGTTTCGAACAAGCGTTGCACTTGAGTGCAGGCTATGCCCTAGCACACGCCCGGATTCTACCAGCCAGCGACACTGTGCATCTTGAGCGCCTCCGCCAACTGCGTGCCGCGGTTTCACAAGCCACCCCTGAACTTTGGGCGCTGCTCCACTGGGAAGGTTCATGGCTTCGAGACGCCCAGGCTTCCTTGGACTGGCTCAACGAACGCCTGCACCATGCCGGCCAAGAACAGGAGCTTGTCCGCTCCTGGCAGAATGCGATTCAAACCTCCCGCGATCGCCCAGGTCTGAGGAAAAGAAGCCTACGCAGAGCCAAGCTCACAGCTGCAATGGAGGCTAAGTGGAACGCGGAGAAGCAACAGTTTTACGGCTATCTTTTTCGCCAACTTAGGGCTGCTGGGGCTTATGTGACCGACATTGCCGAAGTCACGACACCTTCCGAAGTTTGTGGTCCTTGCGGCCGGCATTTCCGTGATCTTCGATGTTGGGCCCATCATGCTTTCAAGGCACATGGCCGCCTCCGAGAAGAGAGAACCCTTGTCAACGGCAAACAATGTCCAGCATGTTTGCGCCATTTTCGTAATAACGAAAAACTCTGTAACCATGTGAGATATTCGAGAGGGTGTAAACAGCAGCTCCTCGGTGCCGGATTCCAGGCCCAGCCCGCTCCGGGCATTGGCAGCAAAAAATATGACGACGGGCATAAGTCCCAGCTTCCTGTTGTGCGAGCTGAAGGTCCCATGCCCATCTTGCCAGTTGCTCCGATTGCCTTTGAAGCAGACCGTCCCTCAGAAGCCGTTCTTCTTCGACTCGAAGACTGCTTCACCCATGGACTTTCTTCCGAGCATTCGTTCGCTGCCCTCTTGGACTTCTACCGTCAAGCCTTCTCCACAGAGTGCCTCCAGAGTACTCGTCTGAAGGCCACCGCTATTGAATGGCAAACCAGACTCGAAGCTGAGCTTGACGGAGACAGTGATCATCCCATCGAGTGGGGAGCATGGCACACACGCATCACCCGTAGCCTCCTCCATATTGACTGGGCCGATTGGCTTGTCCCGGACGGGGACAGGGTTGACCACGTTGCTCGGGTCTACCGCGATGCTGAGGTGCTCCTGCCCTGGATCACACTCGATGTTGCTTTGCCTTCTCTTGGTGGGCCCTTCCCTATCTCTCGATGCTACATGCCTCGCCCTCAGGCAGGGATCTACACTACGACCCACGCTGACTGCAAAAGCAACCCTGCTCTCCTCGCAGTAGATCAATGGCCGATTGAGGACTGGCGACATACTGCTACAGTCCTCTCAGTTGCTGATCTACTCCCCTCCCACGGTCTTCCAGTTCCTCTCAGGTCCTTTGCCAAACTCGAGAAGAGCCTTAGTGCTCTCAGAGCCCATGCTGACCTGATTCGAGGCACCTTGCACCTTTGGATTTCTGGGTGTCCTGCTCTCCTCCTCTCCGCTACCAGTGACTGCCCCGGCCTTCAAGCTTTGGCACAGGTTGCACCCTACAGAGGAAGCTGTCGGGACCTCCAGGTGTTTGGTAACTTCCGTTGGGAGGACTCTCTTTCCTGTCTCACCTTTTAATTACTGCAAGCATACGGCTGCGTCAGACCCTGACTCAACGCCACGAAAGAGAAAGAGAGTGTACCACTAACACACAGCTAACAATGAGATTAGTTTATAGTAGACAAAAAGCAGGAAGGTATTGTGTGTAGGATTGAATGCGGGTTGTGCTTGACAAGTGTTAGGTTCCAGGAGACGGCCAGCATAAATCCAACAAAACCCAGACCCCTAAACCACAAACCGTAAACCCTAACCCTAAACCCTAAGAGGCTGATCATCCAAAAAGCCTGACATCCTATCCTGGTTTTAGTTACCTGCTCAGGAACTAGCGCGGCAGACGCCTCGATCCCTACTGAGCCTTGTGAGACGCAGGAAGCCCCTGCGGAAGGCTGGGTTTGCGCTTTGCTGGCTTTTCTACGCTTCCACTATAAAGGCCTTAGCAACCAGAATAAGGTTGTCCTGAGGGAATGTTGTAGAATGATCATGTAACGAAGCATATCAGGTTTGGTAAATCTTCTGGCCCATATACTATTTACGTCTGCATTGTGTTGCTTTTAGTGTATGCCTTGGTTGTTTGCATTAGGCACACATGTTTGTAAGTGTCGGTCCGCGTGCATCTCTATCAGTGATTTTTAGCATATGTTCATTTCAACTTCTGTTTGTGTATGTGTGTGTGTGTTTGTAACAGGTCTTTCTCTTGGTGTGACTGCGGTGAAACTAGAGCTTTATGCGTCGGTTTAGCATCTCGGTTTTCGGGCGTTAGGGTTTAGGGCTGAAGGTTGTCTAAATACCATCTCAGAAATCAAGTACAACCCCGAAACAAGCAGCCTATCTACCAGGACCATACCCATCCATCCATCTACCGATCTTCCCTATCTTTGTCTACTTCTACTCATGTTTCTATTTACTTATCGACATATCTGTCTACATGATATATATATATATATATATATATATATATATGCCTATTGTCGTTCTTTCTTATACCCGTGTATAGACACCCTTGCGAAACAGGAAAAGCCCCTGAAACTTATACCCTTATAGACTATAGACTTTAGAAAAGGATCCCTTAAAGGAGCCGCAATTAAAGACAGGTCATTTTATGGCCCTTACGAGCTTCTGCTCAGGGGCTAGATCAGCGGAAGCCTCGATCCCGCCCGAGCCCTGTGAGACCCAGGAAGCTCCAAAAGAAGGCGGAGATTGGGTTTCAGGATTTCGGGCTTGTAGGGTTTAGGGTTTATAGGGTTTAGGGTTTACAGGGTTTACAGGGTTTAGGGTTCATAGGGTCATTGTTTATATGGTTTATAGGGTGTAGGGTTTTGGGGTTTAGGGTTTATTATAGGGTTTCGGGTTTAGGGAGATTGGGGTTTATAGGGTTTAGGGAGATTGGGGTTTATAGGGTTTAGGGAGATTGGGGTTTATAGGGTTTAGGGCTTAGAAGGCCGGGCTAGTCTTGACGGTCATTACCCCAAAGCTCCACGTCTTATGGGTTGGGCTCAAATAGGACCTTCGGGTTTAGGGTTTAGGCTAAGAAACCTTATTGGGTCCTTATTAGGGTTATATGAATCCTAAGGTATTGGGGTTATTGGCCCAGGGTTTCTTGATCGGGTTCCTACATTAGGGCGGTAGATAGATACCGGATGTCTATAGAACCTTTTGGGGTTTCATACTTCAGACCTTCACGAGTTTCGATATCGGGTCATAGCGCTTACCAGTCTGTACACGTAAGGTTCTCGCACTTCCGTTGTCTTGTAGGCTTGAGCTTGCACCTTCTACTAGTACCCTAAGGCCCCAAAGTAGTTCCTTTGGGGGGCTCGTATTAAGAATCCTATAACGTAATCCCAAAAAGGAACTACTATGGGGTCTCTGGGTAGGCAGGTGTACATCGCATGCAACAGAGACGTCTAACAAACCTGACCTTCGCGTCCTGCTCTGCAGTTCGGCCTACTTAGAGCATCATGGGACTTAGTAAGTAGGTTATAATTCCGGTTATAAGTCCCCTAAATGGGGTTATCCTAACTATAGCCAATTATAGCCTACTTATAACCTTACTTACTAAGTCCCATGAGCCTTTAAGTAGACCTTTAGCACCAGCCGCTGTGCCCTAACGCCCTGTTCCAAAATGGGGGTTTCCGAAACTAGGGGACCCTAAGATAGTACCTGAATAGTAGGGTCCTTATTATAAGGACTCCAAAACAAGGTACCCCGAATTTCCGAAACTCCCATATCCCTGGCATATTGGTTTTCGGTGTTTGCAGGGATCTCGCACCTGTGGGCTATCCACAAAATATACCGTAATTGAGCCCTGCACTCTACACCCTTAAGCCTTAAACCTCTCTGTACCCATGCAGTCAGAAAGAAGGTCCCAAAAAACTCCTAAATTCTGAACCCTTAAACCCGAAACTCTATAGTACCCTTAGATCCCTTGTACGACCCCCTATATAGCTCCTTTCAAGGAACCCCAAAACAGTAAACCCTGAGCCCCTAAACCCTAAACCCCTAAACCCCTAAACCAGAAACCCCGAAACCCCGAAACCCCTAAACCCTAAGCCCTGAACTCCCAAACCTTAAACCACTAAACTGTAAGAAATCTTTGCTCAGGGCATGGCTCAGCGGACTCGATCCTGGCCAAGCCCTGTGAGACCCAGGAAGCTCCAAAAGAAGGCGGAGATTGGGGTTTAGGGCGTTTAGGGTTCAGGGTTTAGGGTCAAGGGTTTTAAGTTTAGAGTGTAGAGGGTTTAGGCTTCAGGGTTTAGGGTTCAGGATTTAGGGTGTGGTAGTTCAGGGCTGTTCTCTGCCGTCAGTACACTGTTATTTGTTTATGGCCAAATGTTTCCCGTGCTGTCGTCATACTAGTCAGTATCATATGGATCTATCCAGATATCCATCGACATAATTACCTGTCAACCACTGGGTCCATCAAGGAGCGTAAGCTGTAGAGTTCTTTTGAAGCCAAGGGTTGCAATGGTGTAAAGATTGCAGTGTCAGGCCTCAGGGCCAGGCCGTAGCCTTTAACGCGATATGGGAGTTTCCGAAAATTGGGGATACCCTAAATTTGGTTAGACCCTACATTATTTAGGGTACTATATTAGGGTCCCCTCTTTTCGGAAACTCTCATATACCGTTACGAGACTTACAGGTGCCACGTGATCGCCCCGAATATTCAAGCCCGAATCTTTTCGGGTTTAAGGGTCTAAGGGTTGAGGGGTTTAGGGTTTAGGGCCCTTAACCATACACCTCAAAGCTTAAACTAAGACCTGGACCGCAACACCATGTAGATCCCCGTTCCTTCCTCAAAGCTCGGCAACAACCATAGTAACATGCATCTCAGCTCTTAACCCTGCGACCATAAAGCCCTAAAGCCTAAGCCCTAGTTTTGCAAGTACCGTATACATCCCTTATAGGAGCCCTTATAGCTCCGTAAAGGAGCCCCTAAACCCTAAGCCCTAAGAGATCTCCGCCCCCGGGCCCAGGCGCGCCGGACGCCTCGATCCTGCCCGAACCCTGTGAGACCCAGGAAGCTCCAAAAGAAGGCGGAGATTGGGTCTTAGGTTTCGGGTTTATGGGGCTTCGGGTGTACAGGGTTTAGGGCTTATAGGGTTTAGGGTGTACGGGGTTTAGGGTTACAGGGTTTAGGGTTCAGTGTGTAGGGTTACACTGAGCATTTTGCAGTCTTTCGTGGTGGCTTCGTCAGGGTGATATGCGGGCCTGCATACATACTGATATATGTATGCATGTGGTTGTGTGTGCTGGTATTTGTACATGCCTGTGAACACAAACACATAAGCATGAAGAGACATGGCAGAGAAATAATCATTAATGACTAGTAACTAGTATGCTTTATGTGGGTTTTTACAAAGGTGTATCAGAATCAGGGGTGAAGGCTCGGTGTAGGGTTGTAGCGATTAGCTTTGCCACGGTTTTGGGGTTCGGGGTTCGGGGTTCTGCTGTCGAGTCTAGGCTTGTGCAACTCGGATCTCGTGTTTCAGGGGGTTAAAAGCCCAAACCCAAACACTAAATTCTTAAAGGCTTCTTGAGAGGGCTTCATTTTCATGGCTCCGGCGTGGTTTTCGAACAATGGATAAAATGTTGCCTCGATGCAGCGGATGTGGTGAGCAGAGTCAGGAAATTAAGCTGGTTGCCGAACAGGTCAACCCCGAAATCTACTCTCATCTTCGACCGTTGACTCGCAGTGTCGATGGGGTTTAGGGTTTAGGGCAGCTTAGTGTATCTTTCTCCACGAAACTAGGTCAGGGTCCACAGAGGGATGTACTTTCTTACACTCCCACACCAGCATACGCCTCCCATGCCCTTGAAAGGTCTTTCTGTCCTCAAAAATGGGTCCTTTGGAGGATCATGGGACTCAGTAGGTATGGTTATAAGTACCTTAGGTGGATGATAAGTGATTATAAGTATAGTTACCTTACTTATACAGAAGGGAAGTGCTCAACAAACCCACGCCCCATGGCAGGCGGCTCGCTAATTACAATCCTCTAAGTAATCCTAAAACCCCTCTTATAGAACCCTTATAGATCCGAGATCCCTTTTAAGGCCCTAGTCACTAAGTCGCATGATCCTCTCAGTGTCCTAAACCCTAAACCCTAAAGTGTACATTTCAACACCCTCAGCCCTAGGCCTTCAACTTTCTCGCAACCCTTGTAGAACCTTAGGGTTTAGGGTTTATAAGGGTTTAGGGTGTCGTTTGTTGTAAGGCTCACTGTATTCAGAACCCTTGAATGGCCCGGATAGAGCCCTTAAAGAGCACATGTAGGAAACTGATTTATTTTGGCAGTTTATATATGTCCGCAGTAGATTCCCTTCAACCCTAAGCCCCGTGGCACCCTCACAGGAATCCTTCAAGGAACCCTGTACCTTGAACCCATAACCTACAAACGTAACGAACCCTTAACCCTAAACCCAAAACCCTACAAACCTCGAACCATAAACCCTACAAGCCCCATACCCTAAACCCTATACGCCCTAAACCCTAAAACCCCAAGCCCAAAACCCTGCAAGGGAAC